CAGATACGAAGAAAGTAGGTGAAAAAATAGAAAGCACTGCGAAAGATGCTGTACAAACAGGTATAGAAATTAAAGATACAATCATTACAGAGATAAAGGAGGATGCAAAAATGGTGGAAGAAAAATTATCATCCGAGGCTGAATCAGCTGAAGATACTGCAGCATCTGCTAAGGACAAAGCTATCAAAGAAGCGAAAAAAATTAAAGAGAAAGGAAGCGGTTTCTTCTCTGGCATATTCAAAGGTGCGAAACATGCCGTAGAAGATGCAGCTGACGAGGTTAAAGAATTTATGGATGAAGCGAAAAAGGAAGCTGCATTAGAAGAAGAACGAGCTAAAGAAAAAGCTGCTGCAAGTCTGAAAGATCTAAAGGACAAAAAAGAAACCACTGTGAGTAAAGCTGAAGAAACTATGGATAAAGCTGTCGATAAAACAAAAGAAGTAAAAGATAAAACTGTTTCTGCAGTAAAAGACACAAAAGATAAAGTTGTCGAGGAAGTTTCCAAAGATGCACAGAAAGTTGCCGACGCTACGAAAGCAGCTGGTGAGAAAGTAACAGATGAAACGAAGAAAATTGGAGAAAAAATAGAGGAAACTTCGGCAGATGTTGCACAAGCTGCCAAGGATACTAAAGATGCAGTAATTAAAGAGGTAAAAGATGATACAAAATTAGCGAAAGAAAAATTAGCAGCTGGCGCTGATGCGGCAGTAGAAGCTGCGGACAGCGCAAAGGAGAAAGTGACAAAAGAAACAAAGAAAGCTAAAGAAAAAACAACTGGTTTCTTCTCAGGTATTTTTAAAGGTGCGAAACACGCCGTAGAAGATGCGACAGATGACGTTAAAGAATTCTTGGATGAGACGAAAAAAGAAGCTGAAATAGAAGAGGAACGTGCCAAAGAAAAGGCTGCTACAAGTCTGAAAGATCTGAAAGATAAAAAAGACACTGCTGTTAGTGGAGTTCAAGAAACATTGGACAAAACTACCGATGAAGTAAAAGAAGCAAAAGATAAAACAATTTCTGCAGTAAAAGACAAAAAAGATAAAGTTGTCGAGGAAGTTTCCAAAGATGCACAGAAAGTTGCCGACGCTACGAAAGCAGCTGGTGAGAAAGTAACAGATGAAACGAAGAAAATCGGAGAAAAAATAGAGAAAACTTCGACAGATGTTGCACAAGCTGTCAAGGATACTAAAGATGCAGTAATTAAAGAGGTAAAAGATGATACAAAATTAGCGAAAGAAAAATTAGCAACTGGCGCTGATGCGGCAGTAGAAGCTGCGGACAGCGCAAAGGAGAAAGTGACAAAAGAAACAAAGAAAGCTAAAGAAAAAACAACTGGTTTCTTCTCAGGTATTTTTAAAGGTGCGAAACACGCCGTAGAAGATGCGACAGATGACGTTAAAGAATTCTTGGATGAGACGAAAAAAGAAGCTGAAATAGAAGAGGAACGTGCCAAAGAAAAGGCTGCTGCAAGTCTGAAAGATCTGAAAGATAAAAAAGACACTGCTGTTAGTGGAGTTCAAGAAACATTGGACAAAGCGACCGATAAAGTAAAAGAAGCAAAAGATAAAACAGTTTCTGCAGTAAAAGACACAAAAGATAAAGTTGTCGAGGAAGTTTCCAAAGATACGCAGAAAGTTGCCGACACTACGAAAGCAGCTGATGAGAAAGTAACAGATGAAACCAAGAAAATCGGAGGAAAAATAGAGAAAACTGCGACAGAAGTTGCACAAGCTGCCAAAGATACTAAAGATGCAGCAATCAAAGAGGTAAAAGATGATACAAAGTTAGTTAAAGAAAAATTAGCAGCTGGCGCTGATGCGGCAGTAGAAGCTGCGGATAGCGCAAAGGAGAAAGTGACAAAAGAAACAAAGAAAGCTAAAGAAAAAACAACTGGTTTCTTCTCAGGTATTTTTAAAGGTGCGAAACACGCCGTAGAAGATGCGACAGATGACGTTAAAGAATTCTTGGATGAGACGAAAAAAGAAGCTGAAATAGAAGAGGAACGTGCCAAAGAAAAGGCTGCTGCAAGTCTGAAAGATAAAAAAGACACTGCTGTTAGTGGAGTTCAAGAAACATTGGACAAAGCTGCCGATAAAGTAAAAGAAACAAAAGATAAAACAATTTCTGCAGTAAAAGACACAAAAGATAAAGTTGTCGAGGAAGTTTCCAAAGATGCGCAAAAAGTTGCCGACGCCTCGAAAGCAGCTGGTGAAAAAGTAGCAGATAAAACGAAGAAAATGGGAGAAAAAATGGAGGAAAGTGCAACAGAAGTTGCACAAGCTGCTAAGGATACTAAAGATGCAGCGATTAAAGAAGTAAAAGATGATACAAAATTAGTGAAAGAAAAATTAACAGCTGGTGCTTCAGAAATTGCAGACAGTACAAAAGATAAAGCAACGAAAGAAACGAAAAAAGCTAAAGAAAAAACTAGTGGTTTCTTTTCCGGCATCTTCAAAGGTGGAAAACATACTGCTGAAGCATCTGATGATGTTAAAGAATTTTTGGATGAAACAAGAAAAGAAGCTTCTTTAGAAAAAGAACGTATTAAGGAAGAAGTTGCAGCAAATATTAAAAATTTAAAAGATAAGAAGGATACAGTCGTCACCGAAGTTCAACAAACTGCAGACACAGCCTTCTTTGATATAAAAGAAGCTAAGGATAAAACTGTTTCTGTAATAAAAGATACAAAAGATAAACTTGAAGAAGTTTCGAAAGATGTTGAAAAAGTGACCGATACAACAAAAGCAGTTGGTGAAAAAGTAACAACGGAAACAAAGAAGATAGGCGAAAAGATGGAATATGCCGCGGCAGATGTTGCAAAAACTTCCAAGGAGACTAAAGATACAGCTGTCAAGGAGATAAAGGAAGATACGAGATTAGTAAAAGAAAAATTGGCAGCAGGTGCTGATGCTGCTGTAGTGACGGTAGATAACACAAAGGATAAAGCGACAAAACAGGTAAAGAAAACAAAGGAAAAGACAACTACTTTCTTCTCCGGTATTTTTAAAGGTGCCAAGCACACTATAGAAGGTACGGCTGACGATGTTAAAGAATTTATGGATGAGACGAAAAAGGATGCTGCGTTTGAAGAGGAACGTGCTAAAGAAAAGGCTGCTGCAAGTCTGACAGATTTGAAAGATAAGAAAAACACTCTTGTTACAGAGGTTCAAAAAACTGTAGATAAAGCTGTTATTGAAACGAAAGATGCAAAAGAGAAAGCAGTCTTTGCAGTAAAAGACAAGAAGGATGAAATTGTTGAAGAAATTTCCAAAGGTACTCAGAAAATTTCCGATACCGCGAAAGCAACTGATGAGAAAATCACAACGGAAACAAAGAAAATTGGTGAAATAATAGGAGATACCGCGACGGATGTTGCGCATACTGCCAAGCACGCTAAAGATGCAGCAGTTAAAGAAGTGAAAAAGGATACGAAGAAAGTTAAAGATAAATTAATAGTAGATGTCAATGTTGCTGCAGAAACCGCAGAAGGTGCGAAAGATAAAGCAACAAAAGAAGCAAAAAAAGTTAAAGACAAAACTAGTGGTTTTCTGTCTGGTATATTTAAAGGTGCTAAACATACTGTGGAAGATACAACCGACGACGTCAAAGAATTTTTGGATGAAACGAAAAGAGAAGCATCATTAGAAAAAGAACGAATTAAAGAAGATGTTGCTGCAAATATTAAAAATTTGCAGGACAAAAAAGATGCCGTGATTGCAGGAATTCAAGAGACCACAGACAAAGCCATCATTGACACAAAAGACACGAAAGATAAAACAGTATCTACAATGAAAGATAAGAAAGATAAAGTTGTCGAAGAAATTTCCAAAGATGCGCAGAAAGTTGCCGATATCACAAAAGCGGTTGGTGAGAAAGTAGTAGATGAAACGAAGAAAATCGAAGAAAAAATAGAGGAAACTGCGACAGAAGTTGCACAAGCTGCCAAAGATACTAAAGATACAGCAATCAAAGAGGTAAAAGATGATACAAAGTTAGTTAAAGAAAAATTAACAGCTGGCGCTGATGTGGCAGCAGAAGCTACCGACAGTGCAAAGGAAAAAGCGACAAAAGAAGCAAAAAAAGCTAAAGAAAAAACAACTGGTTTCTTCTCCGGTATTTTTAAAGGTGCGAAACACGCCGTAGAAGATACGACAGACGATGTTAAAGAATTCTTGGACGAGACGAAAAAAGAAGCTGAAATGGAAGAAGAACGAGCTAAAGAAAAGACTGCTGCAAGTTTGAAAGATCTGAAAGATAAAAAAGACGCTGTTGTTAGTGAAGTTCAAGAAACATTGGACAAAGCTGCCGATAAAGTAAAAGAAACAAAAGATAAAACAGTTTCTGCAGTAAAAGACACAAAAGATAAAATTGTCGAGGAAGTTTCCAAAGATGCGCAGAAAGTTACCGACGTCACGAAAGCTGCTGGTGAAAAAGTAGCAGATAAAACGAAGAAAATCGGAGAAAAAATGGAGGAAAGTGCAGCAGAAGTTGCACAAGCTGCTAAGGATACTAAAGATGCAGCAACTAAAGAGGTAAAAGATAATACAAAATTAGTGAAAGAAAAATTAGCAGCAGGCGTTGATGTCGCAGCAGATGCTACAGACAGTGCAAAGGAGAAAGCGTTAAAAGAAGCGAAAAAAGCTAAGGAAAAAACAGGTGGCTTCTTTTCTGGTATATTTAAAGGTGCTAAACATGCTGTAGAAGATGCTGCTGACGACGTCAAAGAATTTATGGATGAGACGAAGAAGGAAGCTGTTTTGGAGGAAGAACGTACTAAAGAAAAAATTGCTGCGGAGTTTAAAGATTTAAAGGATAAAAAGGACGTTATCGCAACTGAAGTTCAAGAATCTGTAGACAAAACTATCACTCATGTGAAAGATACGAAAGATAAAACAGTTGCTACTGTAACAGATAAGAAAGATAAAATTACAGAGAAACTTTCCAAAGACGTACAAAAAGTTGGCGATACTACAAAAACAGGTGAAATAGTTCCAACAGAGACGAAAAAGTTTGGTGAAAAAATAGAAGAAACTGCAGCAGATATCGTGCTAAATGTGAAAGATGCTAAAGAAGAAGCAGTCAAGGAAATGAAAGAGGATACAAAATTTGTAAAAGATAAATTAGCAGAAGGTGCGGAAGTTGCGGGAAGTGCAAAAGATAAAACAACAAAAGAAGCGAAGAAACTTAAAGAAAAAACTAGTGGGTTCTTTTCTGGTATATTTAAAGGTGCAAAACACACTGCGGAAGATATATCTGAAGATGCGAAGGAACATATAAGTGATGCCAAAAAGGAAGCGACTAAAGAATTGGAAGGGTTAGAACGTAAAAAAGATGATATGATACATAGTGCAAGGGATGCCGTGGACAAAACCATTAAGAGTGTGGAAGATGCCGAAGATAGAACAGTTTCTAGCGCGATAGATACGAAAGACAAATTGACAGACATAGCTGCCAAAAACATAGACAAAGCAACACATGATTTGAAAGCAGCTCGTGATAACATAGTCACAAAAACCAAAAAAGTAGTCGATAAAGTAGAAACTTCCGTGGCAGATGTTGGACATGATGTAAAAGATATTAAGGATGCAGCTGTTACAGAAGCAAAAGAAGATGCTAACGTTATAAAGGAAAAATTGGCTGCCAAAGCTGAATCTATATCAGATTCAGTAGAAATCACTAAAGACAAGGCAACTAAAGAAACGAAGAAAGCCAAGGAAAAAGCAAGTGGCTTTTTTTCGGGAATATTTAAAGGATCGAAACATTCCATGGACAGCGCAGTGGATGATGTAAAAGAATTCCTCGATGAAACGAAAAAGGAAGCAGCATTAGAGCAAGCGCATGTCAAGGAAGCGGCAGAAGCCGAACTAAAAAATCTGGAGCATAAAACAGACCGCATGATTTCCAAAACGAAAGAAGCGAAAGATCATGTTACTGAGGAAATAGTTGACCAAGTGGAAAAGACTATCGACGCCACTAAAGTGGCAGGCGATAAAGTAGTTACAGATGAAAAACAAATTGTCGATGATATCGCGCAAGGTGTTGCAGATGTTAAAGATAGCGTAGCGAAAGAAGTAAAGGAAGATGCACAAGCAGCAAAAGAGAAATTAAAAGCAGGTGGTGATGCTGTAGCAGAAAGTGCTGCAACTACGAAAGATAAAGTAATTAAGGAATCAAAGAAAGCTAAAGAAAAGGGTAGTGGTTTTCTTTCGGGAATATTCAAGAGCGCAAAGCATTCTGTAGAAGAAGTATCTGATGATGTAAAAGAATTTGTAGACGAGACAAAGAAGGAAACCACTTTGAAACAAGAGCAAACCAAAGAAAAAATCGTTGCAGGTGTCAAAGACTTGAAAGATACAAAAGAAGCTCTTGTTACTAGTATTCAAGATGTCACTGATAAAACCGTCATTGACGCAAAAGCTGTTAAAGACAAAACTGTTTCTGCAGTAAAAGACAAAAAAGATGAAGTTGTTGAGGAAGTTTCTAAAGATGCGCGTAAAGTTGCTGACACCACGAAAGCAGTTGGTGAGAAAGTAGCAGATGAAACGAAAAAAATCGGAGAAAAAATAGAGGAAACTGTCACAGATATTGCACAAGCTACCAAGGATACTAAAGATGCAGCTATTAAAGAGGTAAAAGAAGATGCAAAATTAGTAAAAGAAAAATTGATTACAGGTGCTGATGCTACCGTAGAAGCTGCGGATAGTGCAAAAGACAAAATGACGAAAGAAACAAAGAAAGCTAAAGATAAAACAGGTCGTTTCTTTTCTGGCATATTTAAAGGCTCCAAACATGCTGCAGAAGATGCAACTGGTGATGCTAAAGAATTTCTAGATGAGAAGAAAAGAGAAGCTTCAATAGAAAAAGAACATGCTAAAGAAGAGAATATTCGAAGACTTAAAGATTTAAAAGATGAGAAAGATACGATTTTTTCTGATATTCAAAAGTCTGCAGACAAAGTTGCCGATGACGCGAAAGAGGCAAAAGATAAAGTTATTTCTGTAGCTAAAGATAAAAAGGATAAAATTATGGAAGAAATTTCGACGGATGTACAGAAGGTTGCCGATGCGACAAAAATAAGCGGTGAAAATGTAGCAACAAAAACGAAAAAAGTTGGTGAGAAAATAGAAGAATCCGCAGCGGATATTATGGAAGATATTAAAGATACTAAAGATACGGCAGTTAAGGAATTAAAAGAAGATACAAAATTAGTGAAAGCAAAATTGACAGCAGGTGCTGATGCTGCTGTAGAAACTACGGACAGCGTAAAGGACAAAGCTACAAAAGAAGCGAAAAAGGCTAAGGAAAAAACAGGACGTTTCTTTTCTGGTATATTTAAAGGAGGAAAACATGTCGCAGAAGAGGCAACTGACGATATTAAGGAATTCTTGGAGGAAACGAAAAGAGAAGTTTCATTAGAAAAACAACGTGCTAAGGAAGAAGTTGCTGCAGGTCTTAAAGATTTAAAAGATAAACAAGATGCTGTTATTACTGGAGTTCAAGAGGCTGCAGACAAGGCCATCATCGATATAAAGGATGCAAAAGATAAAACAGTTTCTGCACTAAAGGACCAAGAAGATAAAGCTGTCGAGAAAGTTTCCAAAGATGCGCAGAAAGTTGCCGACGCCATGAAATCAGCTAGTGAGAAAGTAGCAGATGAAACGAAGAAAATCGAAGAAAAAATGGAGGAAACTGTGGCAGAAGTTGCACAAACTGCCAAGGATACTAAAGATACAGCAATTAAAGAGGTAAAAGATGATGCAAAATTAGTGAAAGAACAATTAGCAGCAAAGATTGATGTAGCAGCGGATGTTGCAGACAGTGCAAAGGATAAAGCGTCAAAAGAAGCGAAAAAAGCTAAGGAAAAAACAGGCGGCTTCTTTTCTGGTTTATTTAAAGGTGGTAAACATGCCGTAGAAGATGCTGCTGACGATGTTAAAGAATTTATGGATGAGACAAAGAGAGATGCTCAATTGGAAGAAGAACATGCTAAGGAAAAAATTGCATCGGAACTTAGAGACTTAAAAGATAAAAAAGATGCAGCGGCAACAGATGTAAAAGGTGTTGCTGATAAAGCTACAGCTGACATGAAACATGCAAAAGATACAGCAATTTCTGATGTTAAAGATCAAAAGGATAAAATTGTCGAAGAAATTTCCATAGATACGCAGAAAGTTGCTGATACTACAAAAGCAGTTAGTGAGAAAGTAGCAGCGGAAACGAAGAAGATCAGTGAAAAAATAGGCGAAACTGCCGCAGATGTTGGGCATGCTACCAAGGATATTAAAGATGCTACAATTAAGGAAGTAAAGGAAGATGCAAAAAAAATTGAAGATAAATTAATAGTAGATGTTGATGCGGCTGCAGAAGCTGTTGGTAGTGCAAAAGATAAAACGTCGAAAGAAGTGAAGAAAGCTAAGGAAAAAACAGGTGGTTTCTTCTCTGGTATCTTCAAAGGTGCGAAACATGCTGTAGAAGACGCAGCAGACGATGTCAAAGAATTTCTAGATGAAACAAAACATGAGGCAGAATTGGAAGAAGCTCGTATTAAAGAAGCATCAATTGCTAATTTGAAAGAATTGAAACATAAGAAGGATGCTGTTGTCAGTGATGTAAAAGACACGGCAGATCGAACTGTCGCTGAAATAAAAGAAGCTAAGGATAAAACTGTTGCCACAGCAAAAGATACGACAGATACAGTCACTAAGAGAGTTTCGGAAGATATTCAGAAAGCTACTGATGCAGGTAAAGCTGTTAAAGATAAAGCAGCATCAGAAGTAAAGAAAGCTGGTGAGAAATTGGATTCAACAGTACAAGACATCGCACACGAGATTTCGCATTCGAAAGATGCAGCCATTAAAGAAGCTAGAGATGAAACCAAAGTAATGAAAGAGAAAATGACAGCTGGAGTTGAAGCTGTGACTGAAAGTGCTGAGACCATTAAAGATAAAGCGGTTAAAGGAGCAAAGAAGACAAAGGAAAAAGGGTCCGGTTTTTTGTCAGGCATATTTAAAGGTGCCAAGCATTCTGTTGAAAGCGCAGCAGATGATGTCAAAGAATTTCTAGATGAAACGAAACGCGAAGCAGAATCGGAAGAAGCTCGTGCTAAGGAAGCAGCAGCGACTGGATTGAAGGAACTAGAACATAAAAAAGATGCTGCCGTTATTGGCATAAAAGATGCGACTGATCAAGCTGTTGCTGGAATAAAAGATGTCAAGGATAAGACTCTTATTGCAGCGAAAGATACAAAAGAAAAAGTTATTGAAAAAGTCTCGGAAGATATTCAAAAGACTACAGATGCGAGTAAAGCTGCTAAAGATCAAGTGACAACAGAAGTAAAGAAAGTTGGTGATAAATTAGATTCAACAGCACAGGACGTTGCACAAAAAGTTACAGATACTAAAGATGCGATTGTCAAGGAAGTACAGGAGGATACGAAAAAGGTGAAAGAGAAATTAGTAACTGAAATTGAACAAGCAGCAGAGGATGCGAAACATGCAAAGGATAAAGCAATTTCTGTTGTTAAAGATCAAAAGGATAAAATTGCCGAGGAAGTTTCCAAAGATGCGCAGAAAGTTACCGATGGCACGAAAGCAACCGGCGAGAAAGTAGTAGCAGAAACGAAAAAAATTGGTGAAAAAATAGAAGAAACCGCAACAGACGTTGCACAAGCTGCCAAGGATATTAAAGATGCAACGGTTAAAGAAGTGAAAAAAGATACAAGGAAGATAAAAGGAGAATTGACAGCAAGCGTTGACTCTGCCGCGGAAGTTGTAGACAGTGCAAAAGATAAAGCGAAGAAAACGAAGGAAAAAACAAGTGGCTTTTTTTCCGGGATATTTAAAGGTGCAAAACATGCTGTAGAAGATACATCTGACGACGTCAAGGAATTCTTGGATGAAACGAAAAGAGAAGCTTCTATAGAAAAAGAACGTGCTGAGAAAGAAATGGCCGCTGATCTCAAAACTTTAAAAGACAAAAAAGATTCTACGATCTCCGGAGTTCATGGGGTAATAGGTAAAACTGTTGCTGATGTGAAAGATGCGAAGCATAAAACAGTTTCTACCATAAAAGATAAAAAAGACAAAGTTACTGATGACATTTCCAAAGATGTTTATAAAATTACTGATACCACAAAAGCAGTTGGTGAGAAAGTCATAACAGAAACGAAAAAAATTGGTAGAGAAATAGAAACAACCGCGAAAGATGTTGCACAAGGTATTATAGATACTAAGGATACAGTGGCTGTAGAAGTGAAAGATGATGCAAAATTGGTGAAAGAAAAAGTGTCATCTGATATAAGCACTGTAGCTGATGGTAGCCAGAGTGCTAAAGATAAAGCGACTAAAGATATGAAGAAAGTTAAAGAAAAAGGTTCCGGTTTTCTATCGGGAATATTTAAAGGTGCCAAGCATTCTGTTGAAAGCGCAGCAGACGATGTCAAAGAATTTCTAGATGAAACAAAACGAGAAGCAGAACTGGAAGAAACTCATGCTAAGGAAGCAGCAGCGGCTGGATTGAAAGAATTAGAACATAAAAAGGATGCTATCGTTACTGGTGTAAAAGATACAACTGATCAAGCTATTGCTGGAATAAAAGGTACTAAGGATAAGACTATGACTGCAGCGAAAGAAACAAAAGAAAAAGTTGTTGAAAAAGTCTCGGAAGATATTCAGAAGGTTACAGATGCAGGTAAAGCTGCTAAAGACAAAGTGACAGCAGAAGTAAAGAAAGTTGGTGATAAATTTGATTCAACAGCACAGGATGTTGCACAAAAAGTTGCAGATACCAAAGGTGCAGTTGTTAAGGAAGTACAGGATGATACAAAAAAGGTGAAAGAGAAATTGGCAGGAGAAGTCGAAACTGTAGCCCATGGTGCTGAAGCAGCTAAGGATAAGGCAACTAAAGAAGCGAAAAAAGCTAAAGAAAAGGGATCCGGTTTTCTCTCGGGAATAGTTAAAGGTGCGAAACATGCTGTTGGAAGCGCAAGGGATGATGTTAAAGAATTTCTGGATGAAACAAAGTACGAGGCGAAATTAGAAGAAGCTCGTGCTAAAGAAATTGCAACAGTTGGTGTGAAGAAACTGGAGCATAAGAAAGATGTTATTGATAGCGCAAAGGATGTTACAAAAGAAATAGTAACTGATGTTAAGGACGCTAAAGATAAAATTTCTGACTCAATGAGTCAAGTAGCGGACACCACGAAGATTGCAATTGATAAGCTTGCAACTGAAACAAAGAAAGTTGATGACAAAATAGAATCTAAAACCACGGATATTGCACATGATATAGGGTATGCCAGAGAAAGTCTCGATAAAGAGATAAAAGAGGATACAAAGGCGGTGAAGGATAAATTATTAACAAGTGCCGATACTGTCGCTGATGGCGCCAAAGCAGCCAAAGACGAACTTGCGAAAGATGCTAAAAAGGCGAAGGACACGGGTTCAGATTTCCTATCTGGAGTTATTCAGAGTGCAAAGCAAACAGGAAAGGAAATTTCCGATGACGTGAAGGACTTTCTGGAAGTAACCAGGCAAGAAGCAGCTGCTGATAAAGCACTCGCTAGAGAAGCCGCGGCGGCAAGATCAAAAGACCTGGAAAAAGCAAAGGATAAAGCCGTTGGTGAAATTAAAACCTCTACGAGTAAAGTTGTGAAAGGCACGAAAGACGCTAAGGAAAAGAGTCTTTCCAGTATAAAAGGTGCGAAGGACAAAACGATCTCTACTGTGAAAGCGGCGGGAAGTAAGATAGGACATAGTGTGACGCAAGCCGGGGAAAAAGTTAAATCTACTGAGAGAGTGACTCAAGATGTGACACAGAAAACTAAACGCGCCAAAGATGCTATTGTAAGTGAAGCAAAGGAAGATACACGAATAGTCAAAGGAAAATTGACGACTGGTACAGGTGCAGTCGCTAGTACGGCAGAAACTGTTAAGGACAAAACCGCGAAAGATACTAAAAAAATCAAACAAAAATCAGGCAACTTTTTATCAGGCGTGGTTAAGAGCGCCAAACACGCAGTAGAAGATGCAACGGATGATATGAAGGACTTCCTGGAAGAGACCAAGCAAGAAGCATCCGCGGAAGAAGCTCGTACTAAGAGCGATCTCGCTCAAGCGAAAGATAAATCCGCCAAATTAACAACTGATGTAAAGGACAAATCTGTCAGTGCCATTAAAACTACGAGAAAGAGTCCCCCGAAGTCACAATTATCAGTGGACGTGAAAGGCACGGGCAAAACTTCGCCTATCACTAAGAGAACGGGCAAAGTGACTGAAACGTCAGCGACAAAAAGAAACGGTGATAGAATAGGATCGAAACGCACAGGCGAGATTGTTCAGGAGGTAGTTCGTAGATCCGATATAGCTGGCAGGTCAGAGACGTCCGGTGGCGTCGAGCATTTAACCGAGACAGTTAGCGTTAAGAAAGTATCTCGCATTCCACAAAAGAAAAGTTCGGGTAAGGAGACAGGCTCAGACGATTCGAGTAATTCGCGTAGAGTAGTAGAGACAGTAACCACGGTAGGGCACCCCGAGCCTCGCACACGGCACTCCGTCACCACAATCGTGACAAAGTCTGTGCGAACGACCCCACCGCCACCCAGTTCACTCGCCGAGTTCACTGACAGTAGAACCGAAGGTATCTTGCAATAATCTTGCGTTATATCCATATCTATATCTATATATTATATATTACATATACCAGCTGTGTGTAACATGATTAATGATTAAGTTGACGCTTCTCTGTAACTTCAGTTTTACTAGTTATTCTCGTGACATCAGAGAGCAAAAAAAGAGAAAGATATATATATATATATATTTATATATATACATTCATGCACCTTCGTCAGTCATTAATGAAACCTAACACTCTAATCTTTCAGTCATTTTCAGTCCATTAATTCATCATTTTACGATCCGTAGAACCAATCGACAACATCCGAGACAATCATACTACCGCTTATTCCAATTATAATTTTCTGCGTATTGTTTTAAATTTTCTTTATGTTTCCATGTGTATCGAATGGGTATATTGTTAATTGAAAGCAATTTTACATAAATGAGACGGTATGTATTAATTATAATTATATATATTTAAGATGAAATTTAAATCAGGAAGAGTTCATATAGTATGATGGTTTAAAGAAAGATATGATTAATATTGAATAGAACAAACGATATACCTATATGTACATACTACATTTAATTATTTGCTGCACTTATTTTCAGTTACGTCTTAACGATTTTGTTAATATCTATTTAATGCATGATTCCAGGTTTTTGCGCTATTTTTTAAACGTCTCTTTTACCACGATGGATAATTTTCCTAGTATTACTTCTTGAACATCGAAATCTTATTTTGTTGCCCCAACCGTGTCTCTTTTTTTTCGTTTGTAGCGTATATAACATATAGAGATCACGTATTTACGATTATGCGGTAATTATGTCTCATTGAAATTAACAGGAATACCACAACTAGCGAAGCATGAACTGAGGTATGCCATGCAGAGAAAAAAAAACATCATCCATCATCTAATCTTTGTTGAATCATTGCTTTCAATGTCATATTTGCCGATTCCCAATGTAAACTCAATTTTTTTCTTTCTATGAACTTTTCAGACGTGACCAAAGAGGCTGCACGACGGGCACAAAACCTGGCGGACCAGGCGTACACCTCGACGAAAACAGGTAACGTAAAATCGACTCGAGTAAAATGTAAAAGAGTTCACGTACGCGGATCATCATCTCCGATCGAAGATCAGTAACGGTAGAAGACTTTGTTTTTTGGTGCCCTCATTTATATTTAGCTTTATCTTCCATAGTTAGCACCTGCCGACGCTTTCACACTAACTGATACTGTGCGCACGTCTCTTACTAAATAGTTACCGATCTCTTTTTTGTATTGTCGAAGACAAGAGATAGAGTTTTCATTTGCTCGAAAAAACTAATCTGTATATAATACATATATACTCGTCGAGTAGTTTAGCCAGTTGTATAGCGTGTCCAACAAATTGTGGTATCGGCGAGGAAGTGATTTTTCTGTGAAAAAAGACAAGCCAAAGAAATATAATTTAGATATTACTTTTACAATTAATTGCGTGATCTCAGAAAAAATTTGGAATATTCTGAATGTTCTCGACGTTTGTCTGCATCCACAATGGTACATTTTAGTAAGATTCAAGCGTCATAACCAGACACCGTTTTTTAATGAGTGTATTCTCTTTCATTTTCGATAAAAAGACTAATCCTGGTTGCAATATTGATACTAACTAAAAAAAAAAACTAAATAAGCGGGCAGAACCGCAATGCACGCGCACACGCATCATGCGCGAGACGCATCTCTTTGGGATCGCTTCTCCTATGCCTCACATGCGTGCGTGCGTGTACCAAGCGCGAATCTTTCGTTAATTAGTGCGTAATGTGCGCGTACACATGCGTATGCGAGGCAGACACGCTCCGAATCTTTCCGGTCTAACTTTGGCAGCTGGGCTAGAGTTAAAATTCTTAGTATGTATCAATGTGCTTTATGTCCTTGTTCCTGTTCTTGTCCATGTCCTTTTGGATGGGTCAGGGCATGATTCGGCTGAGATTGATGGGACTGTAGAGAGGCATGCTACTTCTGCTCCATCAAAACAACCTGTTCCCGCCCCGCGTCTCTCCACCACCAAGCCGTCTACCAAACCCGAGTTCCATCTGGAGCTTAGTGATGTCTCACGAACACATAAAACGATTGAGCAGCCTTCCAAGCCAACGCAGGAGATGCAGTCACCGAGCAAGAGCAGTCCAAAGAGCAAGATATCTTTTAAAATAGACTCTTACGCGCCTAAATCGAGCGACGATCCCGAATCCGTCCCATTAAAGTTCTCGGAAGATCACATCATCGGTCCACAGGCGGTTTCGCGAACCATCAAATACGTTACTGAAGATACAGATGGGGAGTTGATCAAAGAGACGATAGAAGTGAAAAAGAAAGTATCGAGTGATGCTATCCAGACAGTCATCAAAACGGACGATCTGACTGAGACTATGATAAGTGATAAAACGGAAATAATTCCATCCGTAGAACAAATACGAACAACTACAGTGACCAACAATTCGTCGATCGATCCTACGAAATTGAAGGAACTAATGGAGACTGGTGGTATTGTAGAGATGGTGAGGACTGTGACTTTGACGTCAGAGGACAGTACTTTGCAACCTGTAACACATGAGGAGGTTGTCAAGAGGATAAACCAAGTCGCTAATACGCTACCCAACGAGATCTTCGATTTCGGCGACTCCTCTACCACTACGATTAGGACCGATAGATCGGAGTCTGACGGTGTCGTGCAGATGGTGCAACGCGTGACGTCGGAGATCGAGAAGACCGAAAGGATGGTGAGAACAATGACTTCTAGCAGTGATGGCGGCGGCTACGGGGACGCGGAGTCCGCCCTAAGAAGCCTTCAGGAACAATTAACGAGATCCGAAATCGGAGAGACCGCCTCTTGGACAGCGGCGAATGAACAGTGGGAGGTGCAGTATTCCCAAGACACATCACCTGGTTCTGGAAATGGTGGTGTTGAAACGTTTGCCAGCAACAACAACAACAATAACAACAACAAGAACGATGGTAGTTCAAGGCATGATATGCACAGCGACACCGATAGTGACGGTTCGCCGCAACCTAGAAGAAGATCCCCGAGCAAGAGGCGTACGTTGGGCAGTTCCAGCGGATCGGATGTAGCACTGCACGAAGGTGCGGAGCTGTCCCCGTTGGAGGACGACCAAGGTACCGCACTCTCACAGCTAACCTTCTGCATAAACAATGTACATACCCTTCGAACTCTCCCTCGCTAATCGGTTACTTCCTGGATTATGTGAACGAACGAGTCCGAAAAAAAAAAGATATATTATATTTGTACATAGATTATATTACACGTTGAGCCTTGGTGTTGAATCCCTGCTACCTTTGCATGCAACTCCTATGCATTTTCCTGTACTTCCTGCTAGTTGCACGATGAGAAGAATTAATATTGGGTGGTGGAAGTTGATCGATGAAGATCATCCTTGGAACGATAAAGTTGATCGATTGAGATCACTCAAATCCTAAAGTTACAGGTGTCATAGATATACTGTTGTTCCAGGGATGTAAATTTGGATTTGGAGACAGTCAAAGATCTTCTGTTAGTTCATTTACAATTTGCATTTGAAATTTTCTCTTAGTTTTAATATAGCCTTTTTATTTATTTATGATACTTTGCAGTACATTAAGTGTAGATTTTAAAATTTCAAAGAAATCCTTTCTTGAACTTGAAATATCGATAACTTGGTTAATTTTTAATTATGAGGACCTTTGACTCTCTATTACTTGAGGTTGCAAAGGACAAAATGGGAATTGTTTGCTTGAAAATTGCATGATCTGTGATGTTTTGCACAAAGATCAATGTCGATGGCGTCGTACGTACCTTTTTACAGAAGGGTAGTGACCCGGAAGGAAAAATAAAGCTTGTGAGGTACAATCGTACAAATCTGCAGTCATAAAACATGCGGTATATTCTTCTTCGTGCTTCGAGGAATTGTTACATGTACGATTAATGGTGATCGACTAAGTGTTGCTTCTCGTTTGGGAAACGTTCGATAAGAACATTATTCTTTTACTTTTTTGTTTTTCCGTTGGTCTTGGCTAAGATGGAGAGGTTTGTGATCAGGGGCTTCTTGGGACTAGTATACTTCCATTCGCGATCAGCCACGTTGAACGATCAAACATATATCTATCATACGTCGATACATTGTACATTCGGTGATATGTAATAAGATTTAACGAAGTTACTTCACATGATTTTGTCAAAATAGCGCTGACGAAATAACAGGGCAATGTTTGTAATGATTGAAAAAAAAATTATACAATGATCGCAACAAACACTTAAAAAATTATTGTGGGATATAAATTCAACGCATATATATGGTCATTTAATATTAAACAATATGAACTAGTTCAGAAGATTTTCCAAAAATTGCACGAGAATATTTTATTATTCATAATATTCAATGAAAATAGTTGCGCGATTAAATCTTGAGTTTGTCTTTCGAAGCTTTTTAATTTGGTAATAAATTGAAATATAGGCATTTTTCGACCAACGAGAATTTAATTCTAAGCATACTGTTTAATGATGATAAAATTAATTTAACTCGATTTTGACTTTCGAGATAGAATGTAACTATCCTGTTATTATCGGCTTTCTCATACTAATTACATGGCTGTGGAGCCATCATCAATCAGCCAGTCAATCAATCAATTAATCAATCAACTGATCAAAATTCACATATGCGATCATAATTCATGGCAATTGATAATCTTTAAGTGACAGAAACACACGGTATGGTACGGTCGATTTGCTCAGGTAATACGATAGAACGGAAGACTAGGATGAAGACATCCGGTAGAGCCAGCTGCGCGTGTTGGACGAGCATAGCTGTCGCTGTGCTGATACTTCTAATAGCACTTATACTTGCCCTGGAGCCACAAATGTTTCGGCGTGTCATCTACACTCTGTCTAACAATATCCCGAGGCAAGCCGGGTACGATTACCCTTCACATTATTTATTTTTTTATTAAAGAATATATATACCATTTTATAATATTGAACTTTTTTAAAAATCAGGCTTTTACGCGGTTATCAGGATAGAAATTTGAACTGCTAATAAGTATCGCTAATAATTACTCAATATTTTATTTTATTTTCAAAAGTGACACGCGCGCACGACTCAAATTTTCTCTGATTAATACTCGTCAATTTGCTTAAAAAAAAATGATATAATCAATTATTATTCTTACGAGTTCGCTTTTGTACTTTTATAAGCGAAAATTAAGAAATTCTCTGAAATTATAATACACATTAATCAGATGATTGCTTTGAACGTGTCACTTTTGAAGAAAATGTACATAATTAATTCATAGATATCTTTGATTATTGTCATGCCAGGTGTGCTTAGGGCTTGTATCAATATTATATTAAATATGCAATGTTCTATGATGCATAAAACATTATTAACAGAAATATTTATCCGAATGTGATATTCGCATATAATAATCTACTTGTTTTTTTAATCACTTGCAATCGTAATGATTTCGAAATTAATTTATTTGCGTATAAACTACTTATATATAAGAAAGGTTTTACTTCGATTGAACACCAGCAGTGATCTTAACAATTTCGGCGAACAGTGAGGAAGAATGAAAAACGCGCAATGAATGGTACTTATAAAACTGAACTACCTTCTGTCACATAAAGGATTACTTTTTTGTACCGATTACGTGTAAGTCATCTGTTTATCTTGAGAAGACAGGTAAATCCCCGCGATTGACGAAACTTGTTCCGCAAGCTTTCTTTTTTCTAGAGTACGACCTGCATGAATATTGACATTGATACTCCCCCGCATGATTGCATCTTTGTATCGTACTTCTTAGTCTAGCCCGTAGTAGTTGTTTTACTTTTGCGTACCCCGTTGTTGGGACACAATGATTTTCCCGCTCCGATCAAATAGATCCAATAGAGAAAGATATGTTTTATACCTAGTTGCACGTACCTTCGACATATCATAAAACTCCCACTCTCCTCTCTCTCTCTCTCTCTCTCTCTCTCTCTTTCTCTCTCTCTCTATTTTTCATTTTCCGTTTTTATCTTTCTTCTTTTTCTCCTTTCTTTTTCTGTTTCTTTTTTCTTTCAAGTATCCTATAGATCACTATTACCCTTCTAGCTCTCTTCTGACAATAAGCAACTCAAGATAAAGCTAAAGTGTAGAGGGACCAACAATCGTGTTTTTTTAGTCACGTTAGGATTGTTAGGCGAATCGTCATGTAAGTAATGTCTAAGTATATGTATATGTATCGTGTCTATACACGTGTGCAAGCACAAGGTACACTGCTTGTTTCGAATTCTATTGATATACGGATGAGTACACATGACTACATCTCGAACGGCACCAAACTAACTGTCTTTTCGTCGCTACGTGAGAGCAAGTTGCGTTGCACCAACCGATATGCTGCGGCTTATTAACAAGTCCATCACCGAATCCGACCCTTCCGATCCTGCAGAACTGCAAACGTACGTACGTCGAAGGGCAGTGCGAAGGGGACTAAGAACCGATATAACTCCGGCGAGTTTGGATTTCAGCACCATTTCGACGCATCGAAAGGCGGACTCTCCGGAATTACATCAGGTTAAAATCCCCAGATGGAGAACCGAGACAGAAGATATTCATGTTTCTTCCTCGCATCCCTTGAGTCTGTAAACGATTCTTCTTATCGATGGTTTGCTGTTCGAACTGTAAACGCAATAATCATTTCGATAGCGCCATTTAATATCCAAGCGTCGATTAGCGCATATCACACGTGCTTTATTCGGTATTGAACATTTGAGTTTCCCAATTTATCTAATACGTTTCCTATTTTGCCGTGCCAGACGTGAAGATCGACTTAAGTAAAATGATTTAACATCGCTCTGAAGAAATCAAAATTTCCGCGAGAATATATATTAACGTATTTTTTGCATCAGAACTTAATATCACCGAATTACTCGCAATAATACACCAGCAACACTTGACCGTTCGTCTAACAATACTAACTAACTGTAGTTAGTACGGGCTCCTATGAAATGGCTGCCAAATCTCATGGAGCGTTTTGTGCAAAACTACGGTCAAAACCAAAGGGCGGTAGACTTGCATATGAAAATCGTGATATTTCATAACTTCTCTTTTTTAATTCCGGTAACATTGTTTACCTGAGAAAGATATATTTTCGTCGTATGCACAATAATGTAAAAATATCCATACATTGTGGAGAACCTTTTTGATCTTATATCTTCAGAGTTATCATTGCTTCACTTCGAATGTCGTTGAGATCACGAATTGATAATTCGTTTCTGCTACGGTATTGCATTTTCAAACAATTTTTACTTTATCCGAATGTATATTATACTATCCGGATGTATTTACCAAATTGTCAAGAAAACACCACTTTCAGTTTTTACCGTAGTATAATCTTTTGTTGTATCGAGAACGTTGAGTACCTACATCTCTTATATACGACTAACTGCTAAATGCTTTGTTCAGCGGCTTTTATCAGCGCTTCACACGAGCTCGCTGCTCGCAGCACAATCGTACTGAGAAGTATTTCGAATATTACTCAGTAATAACATCGCCGTAATTAATTACCTACAGATCAAACGAGCGTTTATCTCTAAGCGCTGTTACAACGGTGCTGTCTTCCTATGAAACGTAGTTGATTTTTCAAGCGAACCTAAATAGCAGAATAATTACTTATATATATAAAAAGTGAATACGAAGAAGTCAATAAATTCTAAGTTTATCTTATGTTGTAAAATCAAAATTAATTCGATACGAATTCTGGCTATATTCCAAATTTCACTGTGCTGAGACTCTACAGTATGTATCGTAAATTATAGATTTTCAGCGCCGGCAGTAAATTTGGAAACACAGCCTTTGTTAATTAGCATTTTTTCATTTGCATCCAATAGGATTTTATAAAAGTTCTATTACGCTTCTCTTGGTACCAAAAGAAATTGGATCTATACATCAAACTGTTATTTAGGATCATCATGTCAGTAACACAATTACTTTTTACTTTTCGTACATGAAGCGAGGAATCATCTCGTCGATTGTATCACAATTTATTACATTCCCTGTGATTAGTCATTATACGCGATTAAATCATAATTGATACATAGGAATTCGGCCGAGTTTGAGATGACTTACAGCTTGTAGCACACGTGTAAAAGTAATTAGCATCACGAGAAAAGAGTAGTGGACACAATAAAAGTTGTACAAGTGTAAATATTTTTGTATATATATATATATATATATATATATATATATATATATATATATATATATATATATATATATATATATATATATATATATATATATATATATATATATATATATATATATATATATATATATATATATATATATATATATATATATATATATATATATATATATATATATATATATATATATATATATATATATATATATATATATATATATATATATATATATATATATATATATATATATATATATATATATATATATATATATATATATATATATATATATATATATATATATATATATATATATATATATATATATATATATATAT